AAACTTTTTTCGCTATTAGCCATCTAACGTGTAAAATCCTCCAAAATGAAGTTGGTCGGTTGGTGTTGATCTTCTATTATGGAGTTTTCTTCCATCTCTTTCATGTAGACACCAACACCATTGGCTTTACCGGCCAATTTGGATTCTGTTTAGGTGTTTAGTTGTCCATTTTTTAGTGATTTTATTTAGTGACAACTCACCCAAACAGATATATATACGTGTACGTAATATGAAAAATATCTAAAATTATAGATTTTCTCATATTCACACACTTCTCCCAAGTTTATTTGTTGGAGTTGGATTCATCTGATGGAAATTAATTCCATTTCTTTGACATAAACACCCACTCCGTTTGCTTTAATGCATAACTTGGGATTTATTTATACACTTTAATATTAATATGTTACTTCTGCAGTGAATTTAACCACCAGTAACATAATTATATTAAAGTGCATTTTAAGGGAATACGTTACCACCAACTTTGGTGCTGATTCCCTGTTTTACCACGAACTTTGCTGCTGATTGTGTTTTTATGTGTAGATGTAAGTATTTTTATGTAAGCCGAAATTGTTTTTTGGTTTATAATAGGAAGGGGAAGTCGATATATTTTGGTAGTTATTGTTTGAGGCATTTTTTAAGTTAGGATGATAAGGAATTTGTGTTTTTCTTTTTGTAGAGAATTTTTGGTTTCTATTTGGTTTGCAATGTGTTGGAATGAAGTATTTTGTATTTGCTCATATTCATGTTAAGTCCTATTTATAGTAAGAAAATGCTCCTTTTTATTTTATTTTTTTTTACAGGTAATTTTTTTTTTAGGTGAGCACCTTGTCTTGTAGTGCTTTCATTATTGCTTTTTATTTGACTGCATGCATGTATGAACGGCCCACCAATATCAAATTGCTAAGCAGCATGATATTCTTGTAAAAGAACATCATCTTAATACAATAATGTAACAATTACTAAAGAAATTACATACTTACAAGTTACATTCAGAATCTTAAGCATTTGGAGAACCACCATGATACGAAGTTCGTTTGACAGTTATAATCTATGTGATTGGTCTGTTAATTATATCACTTTAAATAGATTTTTAATTATAAACCGCAGAAATGTAAGCGAAAATGCTTAGACTATCCAACAAAATAGTTGGGAGAAGAATTAGAGCAACGATTACTATGAAGCATGATTTGCCTTCGATTGGGATTCCAAATACTCCAACTGAAAATTCCGGGAATACCTTGTTTAGATTATCTCCTTCCGAGATCATGTAACTTGTAGTAACCATATAAAGTTCAACATAAAGAACGATTGATACGATTACTTTACCAGCATTACCAAAAGTATACTCGCCTATGTGAGAATAAGTCCTGATCCTTGGATCTACGTCCATACACCATTTAAGTAGCAAGCTCGTGTAAGTAACTATCGCAGCTATAAAACTATTTGTTCAGCATAAGTAATTTAGCTTTACTTTAATAAGCAAATGAATTGATAATTTGTTCAAATTAAATTGAGCAAGTTTAAAAGTTCAATGGCTTAAAAGTACTACGGCTATTCTCTTTGAAAAATTGCAGCTTTAAGCATCACCTTTATTTTGATAATACCTTGCATAGTGCCTCTGCTTCATAGAGATATTTTACAATGCATTCACTTTAAGCATCACATGGCTACAGCTGTAAACAAATGGTGCATGATAAATTGCAATTGCTGGCATCTCTGAATAAGTGTCATGCATGCTTGTTTATTTTGCTGCAGTATGAACATGCATGCTTCTTCACAATTTGGAATTAATGATGCAGCTTTGTTGTCAAGATTCTGCAATGTTGAGTCTTATCTTGAACAAACTATATTGCCATTGACAATTATTATTGATTTATCACCAAACACACTACTCACTGAATGCTGGGATTAAATCGATTTTTATGAATGCAGTATGATATGATATGTTCAGTCTTTCTTGTTAGATTATTGTGTTGTCTATTTAGTGTTCACTAATCTAATTAATCTAACTCAATTAGAATTAGGATAGGCTATATGAAGATTGCAAATTAGAATTAGGATAGGCTAAATTTCAAATGCCTGATTAAGACTAAATCAGAATCTGAATAAGCAAAATTACAATCAGGATGATCTACTTGTTCTATATGCGACTGTTTTTTTTCAGTGGCAGCTTTGGATTCCTTCGTGCTCTGTTTGATCTAATACATTTAGGTGATTTAGCATCACATGTGCATGGGTTCTAGACTTTGCACATAGAAGATCATGTATTACCTTTTTAAATTAGTAACTGGTTATAAATAAATTCTTCAAACAAAACTGATTTCCACAGAAAATTGTTAGTAACTGATTTTCAAAGAAATCTGATTTTTAGGCTCATAAATAAACTTTTCAAAGAAAACTGATTTTCAAAGAAAACTGATTTTCAAAGAAAACTCTTATTGACTGATTTAATTATGAGATAGTTTAGTCCTTAATTTTGTTATTTTTTGCATGTACATAGGAAACTCTTACATAGTATATGTGTATGCAAAGTTTAGTCAAGAGCTTTGAATGCTTGTAAGTAATAGTCAATGTGAACATTTGAATATCATATATGTGATTAATACATCTCTAATAGATTTCTTTAATTGCGGTCAATATCTACTAATTGTAACTCTTATTAGAGCTGGAGTTACTGAGTTTTTTGCATAGACAATTAATTCTTTGATCCATTATATTAGTGGAGTTGTTTGTGTTTTTTGAATAGATGTATTGGTATTTAAAATCATGAGCTTATATTAGAATTTGCCGTCCCATTTGGTGTCTTTTCAAGATAAATGTCGAAAAGAGCTGGTGTGGAAGAGATTTTTACTGATTGTTGTTAATACTTGTCTTCTTTGTTGTAGAATTGTCTTTGATGTTTTTAATATTTGTTACAGGAGCTACCTGAAAGCTGGACTTCTATGCTAAGCTGTTTGTTTATCAGCCCTGTGGAACTCCTCCGTGGGAGCAATAGTCGGATATGGAATGTTGAATTGGCAAAAGTCACAGACCAAACCAGAGAGTATATGACTCTTGGCATTGGTTGGGAAGCGTTTGTAAACGATAACCGTGAAGTTCTTATGATATATTATGGTGGGAACAAGTCTTTTTATGTGAGGATATTTTCAGCCTCAATGGTAGAAAGATTGAGTCTTATTGAACCGCTACACAAATCTGCTTCAAGTGATTCAGTTTGCTTGTCTGAAGATTAATGTTGCCTTAAAATCTAATAATAATAGAGTAATGGATTTATATCCAAGCTTTTTTTAATTGTAATAGCTTCAATAATGTCAAAGAAATTTGTATGGGAAAGCTTTGAATAATAAACTATGTAATGAAATTCTAATATGAGTACACAGTAATCTGTGTGGGGGAGCTTTACATATGTAATGGATTTACTCCTCTGATAAAAGTGATTGATCTCCTTACATGTTTTTTTATTTTTTTAATTTTTTTTCCCTTTTGTTTTCTTCTGTTTTTTTCTTCCTTTTGCATTGATATATCAATCGTGATAAGCAATTTCGTTTATAGTGTAGTTCACATGGCTAATGTTCACTTTGATTTCTTATCTGAAATATATATGTTTTTTTAAAAAAAAATTATGTAATGTTAATGAGTATATAAGAGAGTGATATAATTTGGAGAATTTGAGTGTTTCATTTGCATTCGATTCGTGGCCTAGTAATAATGGTATAGATACTCGAACATGAAAGCCGATGATATATATATATTAGTGTATTGTAAAGTATGTTCATGTTTGTTTGTTTTTGTTTTTTTTCCCTTCTGTTATTTTAGGCTGGTGGCAGTTGTGCAATGAAGTGGATTCTAAGATTGGATGAAGATCATCTAGAAGTAGTGGTATAGTCAGCTATTTTTAAAATAAAGTCTACTTTTAATTTGATAAGTTTATGTGGTCTTGATTAGGTTGATTGTTGCTATTGTTTAGGAGATTCCTTCTGTGTTTTATCACATTCTAGCACATCAATGTGGAGCTTTTCAAATTTATCGCGGTGAAGATGGAGTTGCATGGGACATAGTTGTTTATAAGACTTGCATTGGAAAGTCGATTACTGGTATGTATATTGACGCAGGCTGGAAGGAATTTGTCTCAGATAACGATCTAGAAGTAGGAGATACTTTGATATTGTATTTCATGGGTAATGGCGTTTTTCACACCAAAATGTATAATTCATTCGGGGAGGAAAAAACACATGTAAATGCTCCTACTAATCAAACTATCCCTGTTTGAAGAAGGCTCCCTCTGAGTGGTGAGGAAATGGATAGGAATTTAACTCAAATGCAAGAACAATGCCCTGATCCATCGTTTAAGTATGTGTTTGATCGTCAATGCATTTTCCAGGGAAAAATTGTGAGTTTTTCATTTATAGTTGATTATGATCATAGTTTGTTGCTGTAAAATAGTGTGATATTTTATATTCTATGCAGGTGGTACCTCTATTATTTGCAAGGGCTCATTTTCATGAAATTAAACCTTGCACTTTAGTTTTACTTCGGCATAGAATGAAACAGTGGCCTGTTGAACTTCATCTAATAAAGGAGAATAACCTTATCACTGATAGTGTTTTGAAGAATGGAGTTAATTTATTCTATGAATATCAAGCAACTGTCGATGGAGTTGGAGCGTTAGTCGTTTATCGACATGGTTATCCTATTTTGTTTGAGTTGTTGCTTGGACCAGTTTAGGAGCTGTAGCTTAATTGTCTTTAAGTTGTAGAATTATTGCTTTTAGAATATGTTCTTAGATTATGTAGTCTTTATCCTTGCCTTAGTTTTAGTAGATTTTCATCCTATTTGTGTATACTAAATAAATATAGTATTTTATCTGTTGTAATATATATTTTCTTTTGCATTTTTTCCTAAACTTTTACATTATCATTTGTTTTTTTAAAAAAGTTAACGAAATTACATATAATAGTAATAGAAAGACAAGTAGTTCATTTTTAATAAATATATTTTAATATATATTTATATAAATAGGAGTACATAGGACAAAGTTTTAGCTTGGTGTTTGCTAGAAACAATAACCACAGTCATTGTTTCTAGGAAACCCCTCAAAAGACATCTTTCTACAGCATCCTTCTTCTATATACATAAAACCATAAGGATAAACTTAAAGTTGATCCTTAGATGATGCTAGAGACACAACATAAAGCACCTAATGTGCCATTTGCTAGATAAACCTGAATAGTTGTGTTTTTAACATAGCAAAAGTAAACAGCTATGGCTGCCTAGATACTTGAGAGCAGCAAAAAATTTAATATTCAAAAGGTGTGCAGGAAATGCACCTTAAGCAGCCGATGTTAGATAGTCGATCACCTTGCCACATATATTGCTTGGCCTTCTTTAGGTAGCTGATAAGGGAAATTCGATCATTTTGCTATATACATGCTTTATACATCAGGTACTTATTACCATCAGTGGCTGGTTCAGTTGAGGCGTTTTTTGATTTTTTCAGTCTTCACAGTGATAGGTGTGGTTTGCTTCTGATCAGTTTCGGTTAGTTCAGCAGCATCTTAAACATTACCCCTTCCCAGAGATTTGGTGTGGCCTTGAGTTTTAGTTCGCTTCTGTGGAGACATTCCACCAAAGCAAAGCTTTTTCTTTGCAGCAGGTTGTGATCTCAGCAACTGTGATGTGTCTTGCTCAGCTTTAGTTTCCATGGGCCTTTTCCCTGCAGATTTTGTTTGCTTGTTCATTTCAAAAGTTTGCTGAGGTGATTCTGGCTCCTCAGTAAAAGTTTCTTGCTGTAAATGGTTCATTGAAGAGATTTTCAGGTTCGGTGTAGGAATAAATGGCTCAGAACTTTGCATCTCAGTCATGATCTTAGGAACTTGTGTTTCATTTGTTCCTTGTGTTTGATCTGTAACCTCTTGTGTGTTAGGATCATCTTTCAGCTCTACAGATTTGAGAGCCCACTCTAGGACATTGTTTTGAGCCAGATGCAAAGTTGGCCCTACTTGAATGTAGAATGGGATGCTGCTAAGCATATTCTGAATAGTCTTGAATGAGTCATAATCACCCTGTATTGAATGCATTGTAATATCATATGTCAAAAATAAACTCTAAACATGTAACAGGTGAAATTTACATGTATGATTTTGTAGGTTTATAAAACTGTTTATGTGGTGTATTTTTTCTAGTCAAATGTAATTTCTGCCATAATTAGCTATTACTTAATGAGAATTTCATGCAACAGAGTGTGTAAGATCGAAACGTACGTGCACAAAATGCAACAAATTTATTAGTTTTCAATTCTGTACTGTATTTTTATGTAGAATTCATTTAGTGTGTGTGTCAGCGTGTACTTTATTTAAGGGTACTGAATCAATTAATTTTGTCAAGAAGAAGTTGCTTAAGTGCTTCTTTTAAGTATATTCTCATTCGTAAGTAAATTAATACGAAAGTAAAGAGCTATAGCGGTCATTGTAATGTTATATACCTCTTCCTTTATAGCATAGATTTCTGCAGCAGTTTTTCTGAATAGTCTTTCTGTATCATTGTTGAATGTAGTGAATGCCATACTTCCTGTGTTATCTCTAGCTTCGAACTTAAATGTTGCTCTAATATAAACAATAAGTCTATGTTATTAAGTATAATGCTACTAAATAGAGATAGTTATATAAGTTCATATGTATATACCTCTCTGTGAAGATACTCTCTTTGTTTGAACAAGAAGAACACGAGAAACGCTTCTGCAATGGGAGATTGGAGCGCTTTGAGCAATTAGAACATCCTGTATATGCGTTCACCTTCTCTAAGTCAGCATTTTGAATAGTCACTTCAATCCAAAGAATCTCTTCTTGCATGGTGTTGCTTGGCTATGCACACATTATAGTTAATGAATACTTGTTAGATTTCACACGTCTAATTTTCAGTGAGGCATGAATCTTTGAATCAATTCAGTAATAGCAATGTCTTACATTTCTTCGCTTCAGATCAGCAATTGAGACTATATTTTTGTTTTCACATGGGTATCTAACATCTAATAACATTGCCTGTCTGTCAACTATTTTCTGATGGAAGAGTTTTACCCTGGCATAAGTTTTAGTGCAAACAGAATTAGCAAATTATAAGGTTTTTGGTGCTGTTATTTCAGATTATATTTTTGCACAGAAAATTACCAGTCTTGCAGTACACGTGCGCGTTCTCCCTTAGGTTCATATATTATGCGAGTAGACATACTTGAGTTCATTGAAAATCCTATTTAAAACAGTAATGATTACATATTCATAGCAATAAAGTGTTAAAGTAATTTAATAACAACAATTGATGTCTTACCACGACGAGTATATGGTTTGAGTGCTCTAAATCCTATGACTTGGAACGAATCTGCCCAGTTTTTTAATCCGTCGAAGTACCTTGCTTCTGTCAAGTCATTCCACAGAGAGATGGAGAGTGGTTGATCGCAGCTATTACATGAAACACACATTCTTAGTTATTGTAATATAGAAATATGATTAAATAAAACTTACTATTCTCCTTGACACTGAATATCATGTAAAGTAACCTCTGATCAGTGATGATTATTTTTTTGCACTAAGCTATCTCGTCCTCCATCTTTCCCTTCAACTGTTCTTGGTTCGTCTTCAACATAAAGAACCACTCCTACAACATCTGTGATTAAAAAATGCTAATTAGTATTTTTGTTAGATAGAGTCATTCTGATCATGTTAAGTTATATTATCTTACCATATCTCTCATCAGGATCCACTGCACGAGGAATAGCTGCTATTAGCTGGTAGTTAGGTAAAACTGGTCCAAGTTCAGGATCAACTGGCTGAATCACAGTTCTACTACCAAAAGTCATTTGGTAAGGGAACTGATCAAGGTCAGTTCTCCATTTTTCATCTATAAATTTGATTGTTGCAGCAGAAATATCATACTCTCCCAGATACTGCAGTGCATCTTCAAAAGCCTCAATCTGATCTCCAAATAAAGTACCTCGCATCCTGTTGCCCTACAACATTGCAGCACAAACTTGTAAGCTACACGATACTATCAGCATCACATTGTAAAGAAGATTCAGCAAGCTACTTCTACTTGTTAGCTAGTCTAAGGCATTCGTTTCAAATTGAAAGTCAAAGTTATAAATAAAAATAGTTATCTTCATATTTGGTAAAAAAAATGCTGTCATTAATGTACTATAATAATCCTATTATATAATCTATCATTGTTGTAGAAATCGTTGAGGGTTTTGTTTCAGCTCGAATTATAGTTAATTTATAATATAATGATAATGATAATGAGTCTTTTTTCAGCTCAAATTATAGCTAATTTATAGTGTGGTGATAATCAAATGCTAATTCTTTTATAAATGATAATAACCGAGCATAGTATAAGAGCTGATCAATCTATTAATCAGTCTAGATGTCATTTTTTTATAAATGTACTTTATTTTGTCTTGATCAACTTATTGATTGTTTTAAAACAAGATCTGATTCAAAGTTACAAACTAATCGTGTACATTTACTAATAGCAATTTATGCTCATAACTTGTAGAATAAAGTGCATAAAACAACTCATTGAAAGGAATCATATGTATCAAAGTTCAGAATGCATAATTGGAATCAAACAACATAATAGCATATTACAGTTGTCACCGAGTCTTGTTAAAACAATCATGGGCATACATAATGCATAGCAGCAACCTAAAGCAACATAGATATGATGCACAATCACTAACTAACCATTTAGATTTTATTATAATAATAACTATAAGTCTAAAGGATATATAATATCTACCATTGCCTTGACTGAAATAAGTTTATGGTTTACAAAATCAAGCAGCCTATTAAAAGCATCACATACTCAGATTTTATTGTCTAAGAATTTCTGTAAAAGCAAGATCTATGTCTTTTTTTTTTTTTCTAGTCCAATATCTTTCAGAAGTGATTTTGCCTATTTTTCATTGACTTTTAATTAATTTATCTATTTCACCTTTTTATGTGCACCAAAGCTGAAGAATAAATTAGGCAGACTACTGCATACAATCATAGTAGTGAAAGGTTTGTACTTGGAAAACGGTTAGATTCTCACATTCAAAACATTCCAACAAAAATTGAGTGGAAACATTTAGATTCTCACATTCAAAACATACCTAAAATAATATGGACATATAATCTTCTAAAGCAATAAATAGATACCTGCTCGTCCTTCAGTAGCAAAGTCTGGAATCTGACAGTTTTTTTGGAAGATAGTATGTCTCTTCCCTTTTCAGCAACTACTACTCTGACTATATAAGTCTTGCTTGATGCATTTAACTGATTCAAATACACATACTGTGGTTTGTGTCTAGTTGTTATGAATTTTAAATCTGTGCATATAAATGTGTACAGAATTTCATGGTTAGTATCAGCTTTAAAACATAATCTACAATCCAATTCATTATTTTTTTTTTCTAAAAAAATAGAAAACCAAATAATAATAAATTTCTTAGAAAAGGTAATCGAAAATAAGAATTCTAAAAACTAATATGAGTAATTATTGCATAAGGAAAAAACCATACCTTCCATAGTTCAGAAATTAATGCTGAGAATACTTGCTTCTGTAAACCAAAAAAACGTATGCCCTAGCAGCAAATGCTTTTATAGTGCTTTAAAAAAACATGTAGTCCTTAAAAACACAGGTAAATTGACTACAATAGCCTTGGATACTTCTAGAGATAGATTGGAAAATAGCCAGTGAGGTTTTTTTTTTTTTTTTTTATTGTGCTGTCACTGTTTATACTGTTCATCCCATACCTCTGATTAGGAAATCTGTACTCTGAACTTTATACTGCACATTCTATGCTTTTGGTTAGGTATTCAAAGTGTCCATTTTTTACATTTGATATGTCTAGCTTTCTACTTACACATAAGAAAATAATAAGTTATATTTTTGTTTTAAAAGTCTTTAAAAAAAAAGAAGTCATTGGAGAAATTTTATATGGTCCAAGTTGTAAATTTTGGTTGAAAAGTCTCTGATATGTTGTCAGATCTTAAGCCACCCTAAAAGCCACCCTAAAAGATAGTCTAGATTTTCTAGCATACTCTATGATACTACTATTATACTATAATATTTAGATATTTATATGAATAATGTAAATGAATTTTTGCTTTCTAAGAAGGAACACTACATATTTCAAATCAAAATAATAAAGAGTACATAATGCATCTTAGCAGACCATTTTACACAGTTATAGCTTATTCTAAAATGCTATAACCATAAGGCTATTGCTCAAAACTTGTTCAAAAATGTACACAAAATGACCTTAAGCTTGGGTGTAGATCCTTTAAAACCGGATTCCCTGCAATGTAAACATGCAAAAGAAACTAAATTAAGGATTTCTGTGTAAATGCATATATATTGTCTTAACTAAGATAATATGTAATAAGAGGCTGGGTTTTTTGTATTCTTACCTAGATTACTCCTGCTAGTTTTAAGACAGTATACAAAACAACATTTTTAACAGATGTTTGGGCATACTCTATAGCAGGAGCAACCGATAGGACTCTGATTTTATCCGCTGTCCGTGCACGTGAAAGAGCGACATATAATTGACCATGCGAAAAGCACGATCGAGGAAGATAGACCAACACTTGGTCTAGTGTCTGCCTTTGAGACTTATTGATGGTCATTGCAAAAACTTAATTTGATTGGAAACTGGTTCCTCTGAAATTGAAAAGGATACTTCTGAGAACTCGATGGCCTGATTTTTATTCGAGGTATAAACACATGTTCGCCTTGATACTGTCCAACAGCAATCACACACTCGATTAAATTTGAGAAAAAACCTCTTACATATGAGCCGTGTACCATTACACAGACTAGAAGAAGGCAACAAGTTTCTGAGTAATATTAATGGGCAATCCTTTTTCAACACAAGGTTGTGAGGACTCATTCCTCCTGGGCACAGTTTGTTCAGAAATTCCGTAGGGTATATGTTGCCAGTGTCATCCAAAATAGTATCATAGCTTGTATATGTCCTTGCTTCCCCTGGAAACTTATCAATCATGAACGAATTTATAGAATCGACATCATCATTTATAGGAGTTAGAACAGCTCTCCTTGAAAATATTTTGGGATCCAAACTACCTGAACTCAATTCTGGAAAAGTTGATTCTAGGTATTCTAATATTGGATCTTCTTCAGGCTGAAAAGTCTTCACTATCTGTGTAGGTAACTGAATGACATCACTTTCCATAGTTTGCAATTCCCCATTTCCTAATGCAAGCAAAAACTCACTGAATGCAGGGTCTTCTCTGGCCCTTAAGTTTTCAGTCAATCTGAATCTCTTTAAATGATACCATATATATGAACTCACCACACTTGCGTCAACTGCTTCTTTCTGAGACTTATTAGGAACAACAGGCAGCACTTGTCAAAAATCCCCACCAAATACAATTACTTTTCCACCGAATGCAATATTATTATCACATATATCCTGTAACAATAAGTCCAAAGATTCCAAATTTTGCTTGTTTGCCATTGATGCTTCATCCCATATTATAAGGGTTGTTTCTTTTATCAATGCTGCTAGGCTACTTTGCTTAGAAACGCTGCATGCTAGTGAGCAATCACTGTCTACTGGTATTTTGAATCTTGAGTGCGCTGTTCTACCAGAAGGAATGTTTGTTGCAGCTATACCAGAAGTCGCTGTCGGCAAAACAATCTTATTCATGAGGCGAATCTCTGCATATAGTGCATTGTATAAGAATGTTTTACCGGTTCCACCTGGACCATCTACAAAAAATGCTCCTGGTTTTCCTTTTATCACATGCTCCATTATAGATGTAAATGCTTCCCTTTGAGCTGCATTTAAGAGGCTGCGGCTGTCTATACAGCTCTGAGGAATTGGGGCATCTAGCGCGTCTTGTATATCCTTTGTTCTGTCAATCATGCTATCAGTGCTATCACTTAAAGAAGTCAAACCACATTCACCCAATGATTTTCCCATAGCTTCTAGATGCTGCTCAATTGATCTGACTGTGAGCTTTTTAATTTTGCTTTCTGCACCAGGATTTTTTTTTTTGCAAAATCTTCTGACAATGCATCATAGTATTTGTACCATAGTTCTTCAGGGTTTTCTGGCTGATAGAATATAAGCACAGTAGCAAATAAACGGCGTAAAGCTACTGGCAGCTGAATTTTAGTCGCTTCAGCTAAACAAATGTTTGCAGCATCATCTATTTCTAAGATACCTGCTTTAAGGTAGTATTTGTACCATAGTTCTTCAGGGTTTTCTGGCTGATAGAATATAAGCACAGTAGCAAATAAACGGCGTAAAGCTACTGGCAGCTGAATTTTAGTCGCTTCAGCTAAACAAATGTTTGCAGCATCATCTATTTCTAAGATACCTGCTTTAAGGCACGCCTCCTTGAAGCTTGCACATACATGCCCGCGAACTCTGCGTAAGTCTGTAAATGACCTAGGACTCTTGACATTTAGCAACAACAATCGCAAATAGAAACGCTCACCTTCAGAAGGACCTACAAAGGTTAAACGGCCTACCATTTTTGTTTTACGTTTCCGCCTGAACCATGCTTTTGCAGTACCATCCCATCTATAGTGCTCTGGAAATTCTCCATAAAAATACCCCAAACCATTCTCAAAAGCAGCATTCTAAGAGAAAAACTCTGTTAAAGGAGTCTTTGCATAAACACCACTTGCAATTCCCACATCTAGTCTTTCATGTGGCCACACACACAGTGTTCATTTCTGGCATATGAACTGAGAGAGGCATTACTGGTGGATATATTTCAAATAAGTCAAATCCAAAAATTCTCCATGCTGCTTCACATGGTGACACCCACCTTCCTGACTGATACTGAGCAATCTCATCTTCAGAATTTCTATCTTCAACTGAAACATTAAAGGCCACCCGATCATGTCCCTTGTAAACATATTTGTATAAGTACTTTACTGCTTTTATAGTTGAACAAACCTCAACATTTAAATGGCAGTCAAAAAGTGAAGAAAGATAAGGGTTATAAGGCACAACCCATCGATTATCTAAGTAAGCACCCCTGACCTTGACTTGTTCTCCAGTATCCGTCCTGCGATAGCATGGGTAGCCATCCTTATTTGTTGTGGTTTGTGGTGTGAATTGTTTTGGATACCCATTTTTACAAGAAGATACATTATCTTTCTTTCTCATACAAGGGCATTCTGGATTTAATTTCCCACATGGTCCATGCATCATATGCTGTAACACAATCTTACGGAGTTCGGGTTGATTCACAGGAGGTATTTCTGCGCAAACAAATTTATCATAATCAGCAGGACACTTCATCTTGTACTGTGGTTGTAGAATTAACAAGAAATGAGCATGGGGTAACCCTCTTTTCTGGAATTCTACAACATAAATCATAGCAGCTACTTTGCCAAATATTTTTTCTTTCATGACTTTTTTCCTTAGAGCAATCAACTTTGCTCGAAATATTCGAGCAACTAAATCTGGCCGATCCTGAGCAGCTTCACCCGGCGATAGTTCAGCTTTTATCTCTGGCCAATTTGCGTTGCATGTTACAGTAACAAAGAGATCAGGTTTCCCGTACTTCTGCACAAGCGCCATTGCATTCAAATATCTCCTTTTCATATCACGAGGCCCTCCTAGGAAAGATGGCGGCAAAATGAACTTATGTCCAACATTTGCTGCATTTGTTTCTCCACTTTCGACTGTATCAAGAATCCCTTTATATAGATCAGCTCTTATTGTATCCTGATTTCTCCGGAAAAAGTCTAATCTTGTATTTTCAACTTTGATATACATATCCACAATGTACTGCAGGAAAGCACGACCTGCCCTTAGAAGCATGTTTCCTATCCTGATTTGAATCATGTAGGTATAGTACTCTCTTGTAGAGATGTACTTATCTGCCCTGGTATGCCTTCTAGAAGCACCTATAATAAGCATTAAGAGAAATGAATGAACTGAACGTATCTTATTTAAAGGAAACAATGTTATAAAAGTAATATAAAACATTAAAGTCTTTGTGCAAACTCACGGGTGGCTTCTGCATCCAGAAACTCTGCTGGAGTTTGTACTGCACAAGACTGAATAGGATCAGGTTCAGTGGCCAATTGTCTGTCTCTATCGTGCAAAACTTTTTTCAGACCCTGATGCCAACCACATTCACCTCTTGGAAAGAGTAGAGGATACTGTAAAGGGTCATAGCACCCATAATAGTGTGCAATCCGGTGAATTTCCGTAGACTTTCCAGTTACAAGGATATGCGGCCATGAACTCTGGCTCGACGAAACACTATCAGGCCAAATAACTGCAACTTCATCTGAAGTGGGAGCATTATACACTCTTTGATCTGGTACAGTGTTTGAATTTATTATGATGTTAGTACTTTCATTGACAGTTACTTCTTTCAAAGAACGAAAAAATCTTGCATATGGATTATCTCTAGTTACTCGCATTAATATGTCAATTACATCTTGTCTTAATTCAGGAAAATAATCTGCCCGATGTTTAAGTTCATTTTGGCCATCATAGAAGTAAAGTTGCAAGTATTTTGGGCCTTTTTCATCTGGAATTAAATCTGGCACAGAATGATATATTTGACCATGTAATTTAAAGACATATATTCCTTTATGTGTTTCTCTGTCGACCTTACCACCAATTGAACTAAAAGCAAATAAATTATTGTATAATCTAGCAAACTTTCTAAAACGCACAGCATCTTCATCCTTTGAAGTAAAAAGCCTTACTAATTCCGAGGGATATTCATTAGCAACTATCTTAATATCTCTATCACCACAACAGAAATGCAGGGTTTCAAACTGGAATTTCTTAGCCCCACATTTGGCACAGTGAGTAGGCGGAGCTAACTGTAATGGCTGTGTAGGTAATGGCTTCCCTATAGCAGCCACAGGTGTTTCTGTAACATTATCAAAAGATACCTTGAAAAATTCTATCACACAACAGCATATATACATTGATCCTATGAACTGGAACTATAAATAAGGACTTACTTTTAGCCGCATCTCTTAATTGCTTTGAAGTTTGTGCAGGCGCAGACAATGACGCCTTGTTTTTTCCTGTAAAATTATAAAGTAAAAACAGAAAAGAAAGTAGTAAACAGTATACTATACAGCAACATATATAGATTTTCTTTGGAAATTGTAATTACAATATGATCATACCCTTAGCCAAATTCTTTAATTGTTTTGAACTCTGTCCAGATGATGGAGTTGCCTTAGTAGCCTTGCTTCTTTCTGTCATATACAAAAATAATTAAAGAACAAAACCTGCTTAGTAAATTCACCCAAATATTTCTCCCACACAGCAGCACACATACACTAACCCTTTAAACCGAACCTACAGCCATGCTTACTTTTCGGTGCCTTCTCTAACTGCTCTGAACTCTGTGCACATGATGGAGTTGCCTTAGTAGCTTTGCTTCTTTCTGTGATATCCAAAAATAATTCAAGAACAAAATCTACAAAGTAAATTCAGCCAAATATTTCTCCCACACAGCAGCACACATACACTAACCCTTTAAACCGAAACTACAGCAATGCTTACTTTTCGGTGCCTTCTCTAACTGCTCTGAACTCTGCGCAGATGAAGGTTTTGCTTTAGTAGATTTAGGTTTTTCTGTAATGCAGCATAAATAAAACAGGAAGAAAGCTTATTAAATAGATTCGCATATATATCCTTCTTATAGCTATAAACCAAAACAAAGTGCTTACTCCCAGCTGTGATGTATATCGAAGGCCTTGCTCTAGCCTTTTTAGGTCTTGGTTGTTCTTCCTCACTATACAAAGCATAAAAGACAGGTGGATTTGTTTTTTTAACATAATTATATCTGGCATAATCATACTTGTCATAATAACCTAGTACCTGATGGAATTCTGCGGCAATGATACACTAATTGCTTGTTTTGACTGTCGACCTTGAGCTGATGGCCTCTTAAAATTGTAAGGCGCCTCAGCTATTATAAAAACATTGTAAAACAGCAATAAAGCAGTTATTCATTAAGGTGATAGTATGCAACAACACAATATTCAAAATAAATAAGAAACACTTTTTTTCTGTAAAGATCTTTTTACTGCACAAACGCACCCATTTCACACTGTCGCAGCTGAAACCACCTCTAGATCTTATATATGGTAGCAACAAAGTCTGCGTTTTTTTGTTCTTTTATTTCTGCATAAAACCACAACCAACAACCTAGTATTACTTTTTGCAGCTAACTTAGTGTTCGACATTTCACTAAGCTTTAAAGAAAGTAAAATTTGTTTCGATGGCTATTTCAGAGACAATAGGCAAAGGAGAAATAATATGTTTATAAGTAACATAAAACAATGTGCACTTAAATAGGGCAATCAAAAGGTGCTTTCATTCATTTAGAAAGTACATTACATTATATTCAAGTCTTATCATACATACGATTTCTTTCATGCGGTTTCAACATACTCAAAAGAAGCACTAAATCTATATGCCAAAAGTAGAACATAAGCTCATATAATAGACCTAGTGCACACCAAACATAAGCACTGATAATGAGGCAAACGTCATGCCATGCTACCTATTAACTATAACACTAAGTAACCTAAGCAAACTTAGCACGCTTCCAAACAGTCTCTAGTTCAGGAATGCAAGAAACCAAAGGTTCTGTAACTCTGACAGCAGAAGAAGATGCGGTGTCCATTGCTGCACTTGAGCGGCGCTTCATTGGAGCAGAGGGTGGCACAATAGGCTTAGGAATCTGAAACCTTTCAGATGTCGGAGTCACACAGTCTCCTTCAGGAAAGCGGTCACTTCTAGCAGCTAATCGTTCCTTGAAATGGTAAAACTTAGTCTTTAAATCAGAACAAGTAGCACCCTTCTCTGAAGCAAGGCCATAATTAGCATCTATAACCTCTAGGCTATACTGGGTGACCAAGTAATGGATAGCTCTTTTAGCGGTCTTTTGCCTTGCAGCTGCTACTTCAGCACAAGGATCACTATAAATGCACTCCATACCAGTTCCATTGTGGGGGCAAGACACAGTTAGCCAAGACACAAAACCCAAACCTTCAGCCCAAATAGTCTCCAATGAACTTACCTCTGCTCCCGTTTTTCTAACAACAGCACCTAAAAAGTCAACATAATTCATCGTCACATGGACAACATCCTCAGTTGTTCTCTTTCCTAAATTGCCTTGAGTTGTAGGCATCTCTAGCCCTTTCTCACGACATAATTCAACAACCTTATGCTTATAAAGTTTACTACACAACTGATACATTCTTGCTCTATCAGCAGTAAAATCATTCACCCGCACTCCATAGTGGCTGATCATTTTCAGTATAGCTTTTTGAGCTGCCCTTTCCTGTGACTCCTGAATTGTATTAGCCTCCCCACCAAAGAATACAAATTCAGATCTACCACATTCAGTCTTAACACGAACAAAAGCGTTGTTCCTATCCTTATCTACGTAACCATACACTGGTTCAGGGAAATTTAAACATTCAACCACTTGACCTAATAAAGGTCGAAATGGAATGGTAATTCTGTTCGGATGAATGGCCATAACCTGTAACCGGCAAAAAATATCATCTTAATTAAAGCAACACAAGCACCAACTAATCAAACACACCTAGTAAATTACAAGACCTAACAGCAATCCAGCTAACAAACCATATACACTCGAAAAATTCCAGTCCAAATTCTCCACACAAACTTACCGATAGTAGTATCGCACTGATTCACCACCACAGCTAGCCCAAGATGCAGTTTCCTATAGTTCTGTTTTATTTCACCAAGAAGAGGGGGGTAAAAAGGAAAAAGGAAACACAGAACACACCCAAAAAAAAGCAACATAAGCAACAACATTTAAGCCAAATCTCCAGAAATACAACAATATTAACATAAGTACATAAACTAACAACTAAACTAAAACTTGTAGTTCATATTTCCAGCTCATTTACGTTCCTTTATAGTCCAGAAAGTCAAGTACTCTTATAATCCAAGAATCACTATGTCAATATGCAAATCTGTTTATATAACTAAGTTTCAGTAAAATATGATCCATTATACTGCAGTGTTCTCATCAAAATTAGCCAGAAGAAAACAGCCTCAGTCAAAGTTTCATAGTACCAACCTTTTCTCACACAGCATATGAAGAAGAACAAAGAAATACATACAAGAAATAAGTGAAATATGTGCTGGTATAAAAGGCAAAGAAATAAACCAAAGGACACACCTATACATATTTTAATACAACAAAGAAGTACATCACAAAAGTATTTTAAGCCTCGAAATTCAAATATCTTCTATACTTAGTATATTTAAATACAATAAATATTCTAGCAATTTTGTAGTAACAGCTGCACCACATCATTCCTTGTGCAAACACTGTAGATTAACAGTGCCAACCTACACCAATTTTCCAATTGCAATAATTAATCACCTAATTAGCTAACCAGACCATAACCTTTGCTACTAAAATAACAATTCAAGAAGAAATAGCCCAAACAAATTTTCCAATCACAATAAATAATCACCTAATTATCTAACAATACCATAACCTCCGCCACTAACATAAAACATACAAAATGAAATCCCAAGGTAAATAGCAAATTAACACATCCAACCATAAATCAAAGATAACTAAATTTCGGGGGAAAAAAAAGGGGGAAAAAAACGTACCTTATAATAACCCATAAGCATCATGTATAAAGCAGCAGCAACCCAAATTACACGAACAATCTCCATTGAACTATGCTCTGGAAGCGAAGAAAACGCAATCACCAAATTAATTGCCTAATTTACATCAAAGGTTACTACATCAATAAAGAAAGAAAAAAGGTACATCAATAAAGAAAGAAAAAAGGTTCCCAGGAAGTATAGCTCTACACGTGGCCAACATCAACTGACAAATGTACACCAAGCAAGGATAAAAGTGAAAGGACAATCCTACCCTTGGAATTTTGGTGCTCCAGCAAGGGAGACAAAGGGCAAATGCGCCATTTCTCTGTCCTAAGGAACAGTAAATTTGGGAGCAACTTTGGTGCAACAGTAAGTTGCTTTGGGACTCTTTAACGTAACATTTTCAATCTCAATAGTGAGTTTATAAAACAAAAAAGGCAACAGAATGATGTTGGAGGATCTCAAGATAATGATTCTATTGAAAATCAGTGGATAATTAATGAATTCGCATATTGGTTGCATAGCCAGGTTATATGCTTTTATATTTAGGGTTTTTTTAATTTCATTTTATACAACAATGTTAGTATAACTTTATTATACTCGAATTATAGGTTCATAATTTAGATGAAAGCACAGTAATTCAAGTGTCGGTCCAGTCGTTGAGGTAGCTTGTTTTCGAAGGTACAGAGAAGCATTGCAGAGATGAGGATTGAGCTTTGTGTGGGTTAGGTTGGGTTGGGGCCTTGTAGGGGTGGTGCAGCTGGGGGGCTGATAGTGGTTGTTATAGTTGGCATGGAATGGAGAGGGTGAAGAGAGGTTGTAAAGATAAATTTATTAACTTATTAACAGGGTTGTTAACTTTTTAATAATATGGTATGAGCACTATCATACTTATGACAAATTTTGGCATGTCCATCAAGAGGTTCTTATGGTTTTGTTACTACTACCAATTACACATGCATTCTGGATTGAGGATATCCTCATGGGTGTATATAAATTTATGAATGGTTAATTTGCTACTTGTTTTCTTGTTTGGCAAACCTAATATGAAATCAGATTTGAATTCTAAGCATCAAATTAGATTTGAACTCAAATCATATTTGAAGTTCTGTTCTTGAATCAATCAATATACCTTCCCTTCAATCAATATGGAAATTTGTTAAAACTCTTTGTATGTTAACAAATATGGTTCAGTTCTAGATTAGTGAGCTTCATCTGACCTCATTTTATTGAAGGGAAGGTATGTTAATAATAGCCTGATTTGATTCCAGAACTGAACTTCATATGGTTCAGTTCTAGATTGGTCACTCACTCACACAAATATGGAGAGCTTCAATTTGTATGTTAACAACTGCATTTGTGTACTCCATAAAAGAAAGACCAAGTTCTGAAAACATTCTACTTATTTTCCATCTACACATAAGTGTACTACTTCAGAGCTGGTGTGTGTGTGTGTATAAGCCTATATTGTGTAACATACTAATTTATTCTTTGTATTTTATTTTTTTGAAGATTGGAAAAGGCAATGTAGGTGCAACAAGAGAATACCCCAGAACACTTGAGCATCAAAACAAGAAACTATATCGTCTATAGCGCCATTATCTATCTATTTTGGTTTTTAGTATTAATTATATTAGTGATGTATTTATTTAAAAACTAGCTACAATAATAGATGACTATTTTTTATTTTTATTAATTGTGTTGATGTTTTCTTTTATAAATTTGGTAATTAACTACGTACTCTTATTATTGTTGATTAAATATGTTTACTTTTTTTTTTAATCTAGTTATATATATATATATATATATATATATATATAATATTTGTTTATTTTAATTTTAATGTTATTATTTTAATTTATGATAAGTTTAAATAACTATAATGTATGTATGATGGTAATAATTTAATAAAAGGGAAAAAACAGAAAAAAAAGCTTAAAAAAATTCTAGACGCTTTTTAATGTCTACATATTTTGCACATTTTCACATTTCAAGAGTTTCTCGCCATACATAGGCTGATACGAATAAACGCAAGACAACAAAAACCGTCGCTAAATTTGACTATGTGAACATGTAAAAGTATTTTCCGACACTACGTATATTAGTTAGGACACATAAAAGCGTCAATATTCTTGACGCTTTTTTGTGTCCTTTAAAATTCTCGACTCATGTATAGCGTCGAGAAATATTTTTAGCGTCGAAAAAAGGCTTAAAATGCTTCCAAAAAACACGCTTTTTGTATAACATAATTTATATGTATTTTAAGTTTTGCAAGGTACAAAAGGAAGGTCCGTTAACAAGCAAAGAACTTATTGAAGTTCGAGACATGTTGTAGGGAATAATTTTAAGCGTTAACCCCTAGCTTGAACCCCACTGTGATCATACACTTAAGTACGGTGGCGTCCAAAAGGGAAGAAGATAGAGCAAAAGAGTCGCCAACAAGTTTTAGGAACTTGTAAACCGTTCACAGGGTGAAGGTTACACCCCTTAACGATCCAAGAGATCGTCAACTCCATAAGGTCTAGAACCAAATAAGGGTTCGAGGATGAAGGTACAAATCCAACCTAAAAGAGATTGAACCTGCCCTAATAATAGGTCTCTACTTTGTTCAGATCGTATTAATGTGCGCTTTCTGACTAACATGCAATCAATAGGATTAACCCTAAACCTGTTTATCTATGTTGGTTGAATTTAATGCACAAATAAAACTATTATTGGCGATCACTTGAATTATAATCATATTAACCCTAACAAGATTATTAAATATCTTATTAAGCGTGATTACAAGTACCAAATTCCCTTTAAACATGCAATAAAAGGCGTGATCAAGCAATAAAAAATAAATAAGCATCAAGCAACATAATAAATAAAAATAATCATCATAATAATAATTATAATAATCATAATCATAATAATCATGTTAAAGCATAATAATAGCAAGATCCTAGGCATGATACTAACAAGATTAATAACAAACCCTAGCATGTCACTAGGCAATAAAAATCAAATCTTTAACCCTAACATGATACTAACAATCATAGATATTAGGAAGAACATAAAAGGCATCATAATAATCATATTTAATATTAAAATTACCCTAGACATGATACTAGGAATATCATAATAACAATATAAACATGATTTCTACATCATAACATCAATAAATCAATTAAAGTACTTACTTTGATGCCTCGTACCTCTTTCTAATAACAAAATACACACGTTAGTAACTTAAAGGAAAATAATAAACAAACAATTAAATTAAATAATTGAAAGAGAGATTTGGGACCAAACCCTCAGAAGTTAAACCTTTCACGTCTAGGGCGAAGGCAACTTCGAATATGGCAAGGTGTTTCTAGATCTTGTGAATGCGGAATTTTGTATGTAAAAAGCAAGTTTTTAGAAAAGAGAGAGAATAAGGGAGATGGAGAATGATTAAAGAGAATTGATGATTGTGAATGAAAACTGGTTGTAGATGAATATCATTGAAAACTGGTTGTTGATGATTGAAAACGGAGTTTTTAATACGTTCTTTATAGAGAAAATCAGCTAAAAAGATAAAATATCAAAACAGAGCATTAGCGCAACTGAAACAGAGCTAGCGCCAGTACCAGCTGATTGGCGCCAGGCGCCAACATTAGCGCCAGGCGCCAATAGCTGGCGCCAGGCCTAGCTCCAGGCGCCAATAGCTGGCGCCAGGCCTAGCTCCAGGCGCCAATGCCTGGCGTCAGGCGCTAGTCCTGTTTTTGACTTGCTTTCAAAAATCAGATAATTTTTGCCGTACAGGAGGATAAAATCGTATATTTTCCCCAAAAATGTTCTTTGATTTTAATTAAAACTCTAAAAAGTCAACAAAAGTCAATTTATCAATGCTAATTGAATTAGGAATGAAAAGAACCTTCTAAAAGAATCTAGAAGACTAAAACCATTCCTAATTGCATTAGGAATGATTAATCATATTAGGCCCTCCCTAGATCATTGGGCCGCATATAAGGCTCAAACCGGGCCCAGTTTAGTAAATTGGCCATAACTTCCTCAGTATTCATCGGAATTGGGCTTATAATATATCGTTGGAAAGCTCTTATCAAGCCCCATCCAACTACACTACTATTGGACCCATATCATGGACCAACCAAACTGGATTGGCTGTTTTCTTAAAATAAGTTTTCAAAAAACAAAGAGAAGAGAAAAGAAATAAAACTATCCGCAACACTAAACTTTCCACACTTTCACTTCATTCGATTGTGATTCGGCGCGAAAGTTACTCATCACTGGGTTTGGTTTTGGGGAGACACAAATGGGTGTCTACAGAAGCCCCCTCTTTGACTGAGTTTGGAGAAACGCAAGTTTCGAAAACAAAAGTCAAAGTAGGGATAGGGACGGAGAATGTTTCAGATTTAGCAAAACTAGCGTTAGTTAAACAGATAAAAGAGTTAAGAAACGCGTATCTTGCACCGTCGAGCACACACCTCCGAAAGTAACCAATTGTTTTTATGACCTCCTGCAAGCTAGAGAATGCCATCCTGCTTGAAAACCGCTACGTCCGTAACTACTTCCAATTTGGAAGATTGCTTCGCCTGAAACGATCCTCCTCCGCATTGATAATATTCCACATCCAAGGGAATACTATCAAAGATTGCCTCTCTTGAAACAATCCTCGGTTGTTTGTGACAACTCTCCACAATCTAGGGAACGCCACCTTGCTGTTTTGATGTTCACTCGTCTCTGAACAAAGAGCTTCCTTTTTTATTATCGATCTTCTGAATGATGTGTCCACGCGTCTCTGAACGAAGAGCTTGATAATAGGATGCCCGCGCGTCTCTAAGCAAAAGAGCTTGAAAATAGGAGATCTTTGATGATATGTCCACGCGTCTCTGAATAAAAAAGCTTTTGAGTGACATGCCCACGCGTCTCTGGAGCAAAAAAGCTTGATGAAAATGTTCACGCGTCTCTGAAAAAAAGAGCTTGAATAATATGCCCACGCGTCTCTGGAGAAAAGAGCTTTGATAATATGTCCACGCGTCTCTGAACAATAGAGCTTTGATAGAAATGTCAACGCGTCTCTGAACAAAAGAGCTTGAAAGAAATGTCCACGCGTCTCTGAACAAAAGAGCTTGAAAAGGATTGTCCACGCGTCTCTGAACAAAACATCTTGATTGGTATGCCCACGCGTCTTTGGACAATAGAGCTTGAATGAAATGTCCACGCGTCTCTGAACAAAAGATCTTTGATGATATGCCCACGCGTCTCTGGAGCAAAGAGCTTCGG